AACCCCCCCCCCCAACCCCCCCCAAATAAACAAACAATCCTCCAACTCCTTTCTGACTTATGTCTGAGGTACTTTGTCAAGCACCAAAAATTCTTCAGGAAAAAAAAGTCTGAGATTGTCATCAATGTATGGGAACATACAATGACTAGTTCTTAATGATTAGTTGAAATTAGTTCTCTGCATTTAACCCATCGCACGTGAGATACACCCAGGTGGAGCAGTGGGCAGCTATGTAAGCACCACGAGAGCAATTAGGGATTGGGTGTCTTACTCAGAGACACCACAACATGTGGAAATGGCTGGGAGTCAAACTGTGACTTCCTGGTTCAGAGTTGGCTGCCCTACCTCTACACAATCTCAGCTCCCAGAAAGAGAAGAAGAAGAAAGAGACACAGAAGTTGAAGGAAGTTTGGCGGTGATAGAGACACAGGGAGGGTGGGAGTGGGTCATGAGATCTGAGAGACGTGAAATTTAGTGTGTTTGGATTTCATAGTTTGGGTGTAGTTTGTAGTGTGTTTAGTGTTTAATCAGTTTCAGTGTTTAATGATGAGGCACTTTTTGAACGTGAAACTACGGCCTCTGTTTGAAGAGGGGTATTGAGCTGCAGACAAGAAATGGACAGAGCCACAGGGTCAGAACCTTCCCTGACAAAAGAAGCAGAGATGAAAAAATCTAGTCTGAGACAAAATGAGGACTTTGATGAGGAAGTGGAAGATCCGTTATGTTAGAATAGGAAAGAGAGGACCACACTCCTGCCTGTGCCTCTGCCCGATCACTAGCGTGACCTCATCAGCATTTGGTAATCATTGGCCATGTGCTCGGGTGTTTCCTTGACTGGTTTGTTTGTTTAAGGGCTTTTTTAAATACTTGCATGACTCGAATTAGATAAAAACATATAACCAATGTTTTCTATGACAGTGATTACCCCTTAAAACAGGTCTCTCTTGTAAATGAGTCCTCATGACTCAACGAGACTAACTTGAATAAATAAAGGTTGAATAAATAAGAGAATTTGGGACTACAACGGTGGGTGTTGGACTTTACACCCTTTTGAGCTGCTTATTAAACAGACATTAATTTATTTTATACACCAGCAGTTCTGTTTTTCTTTTTGGTCTCATCTGTAGTGGGATGCTATCACCCATTTCTTCATAAAAGCCTGATTTACACACCCACCTCTTAATTTGTGCGAGTTCACAGAAACATCAATGTTTGTTTTACCCTAAAGAGCTGTTAACAGGTTGTAAATGAGTCCCCGAGGCTCAGTGGGACTAACCTGTATAAATAAAGGGTGAATAAAAAAAAAAAAAATCTGGTAACCCATCCACTCTTTGGATGGTCAATGAGACAGACAGTTTCATCCCTGTACTTGTTGGATTCATAAATTGGTTTTCAACGTTTTTTATTGTTCTTGAAATTTTACAGACTACAGTCTGTGCCTTGAAGAAAGGTTTCTTTTTATTCAGTGGCCAAAAATTGTGCATGTTTGGTTATTTGAAGATTCTAATTTAGGTGTGAGTCTGTGAGTGACAAGCATGTCATGACTCACTAGTCGCTGTACTGAGCTTTCTATTACTTCCACTACAACACTATACTACTCCAATACTACCACATTCCCACACAAAAGATGAGGTCAAAGCCTTTAAAAAAAATGAGACTGTCAACTGTTGCAGTTTATAAAATATCATGTTTGTAGTAATCTATCCAAGTTAATGAAATGATGGTACAACTGATGGGAGTTGTTAGAATTTTGCCAGTATTCAATTAAATTCAGTTTATGTGCTAATTCACAAGTAATCTCAGGGTATTATAAAAAAACAAGAAGTCCAGACCAACTTAGATGTAATCCAATTTAGTCCAAACAAAGGTCATATTACATACAGGTCAGTTCTATTTAGTCAGTTAAATTTCATAGTCTGTTCAGTAGTAAAAGCTTCATATGGCGAATATTTTAAGTTTTTAAAATAAAAAAACAACCATTTTGTGTCTGTTTGATATTTTTTGTCAGTTATTCACCCAGATAAATCTAAGAAGACAATTTAAGGTGTCAAAACAATAAGCTAAGTATATAAAATAAAACATATCCACAAACGCAATCTTGAACAAGTTTTTGACATTTTTCTCTCTGAAAACCAGTGGTGGGATGTAACAAAGTACAAGTACTTCATTACTGTACTTACTGTAAGTACATTTTTCATGTATCTATACTTTACTTAAGTAGAGTTAAATGTAGGTACTTTCGACTTTTACTCCACTACATTTTACATCAAGTATCTGTACATTCTACTACACTACATTTCTATAATATGTTACAAGTTACATTCACATTGTAGTTTTTTATTTGTTTGTTACTTTGAAAGTAACCGATAGTGAGAGAGGAGCTGGTCCAGTGAATCACTGCAAAGTGGGCAGGTAACGTTAGATCCGCCTTCAAGAAGAACTGGACCAATGATGTATATTCTAGTATATATGTCATTGAGCTGGACCCACAGCACCACTAACACACCCAAAATGTATTCCACCGCAAGAGAGTCAGCCAGAAGATACGCACCACCCATGGCCTTATTGAAAGACTATTAAAAGACTATTCAGTACGACAGGACAGATTCTCTCTTCTCTCTCCTTCTGTGTCAATATCAAAGATTTTAGTTCGGCATCGAACGCACTCCAGTGGGGGGTACCGCAGGGGTCCATCCTCGGTCCCCTTCTCTTTTCTTTATACCTGCTGCCACTAGGTGCTATCTTCCGCAAACACGACATACCGTTCCATTTCTATGCCGATGATTGCCAAATTTACTTCCCCCTGAGGCACAGAGGCACACGCTCTATTCAGCCTCTTCTTGACTGCCTGGCTGACATCCGGGACTGGATGGCTTTAAACTTCTTAAGCTTCAATGAGAAGAAGTCTGAAGTCATGCTGTTCCATCCCAGTGGCTCACTCATGAACCATGACATTGACCTTTTCTCTCTAGCCCCGCTAGAGAAACAAAAGGTGACTAATCTGGGGGTGATAATGGACCCGTCCTTAAAACTCAACAGTCACGTAAACATGATGGTCAAATCCTGTTTTTTTCAGCTGAGACGGCTGTCTAAGCTGAAGCCTATACTCAACAAAAAGAACCTCAAGACAGTGATCCACGCCTTCATAACATCTAGGCTTGATTACTGCAATTCACTTCTGTTTGGAATCGGTCAGTCCTCCATTGCTCGTCTACAACTGGTCCAAAATGCTGCAGCCCCATTTTTAACTGGTACAGGCTATAGAGAGCACATCACGCCAGTTTTGGCCTCCCTGCACTGGCTACCCATTCACCTTCGGATCCATTTCAAAATTCTCATGTATGTTTTTAAATCACTGAACAGTTCCGCCCCATCCTATCTCACTGATCTTCTGCAGCCATATGTCCCACCACGCTCTCTGAGGTCAGCAGACCAGATGCTTCTCTCAGTCCCAGAAACCCGTCGTAAGCTCAGAGGTGACAGGGCTTTCTCTGTTGCAGGTCCACGACTGTGGAATGAGTTGCCACTGAGTGTCCGGCAGGCTCCCACACTCTTAGTCTTTAAGTCTCGCTTGAAGACCCACTTCTATTCGCTTGCCTTTAACACGGTGTGATTTGTTTTGGTCCGGTCTGTTCTCTACTCTGTTGGCCATTTTAGTTAGCTTCTGCTGCTATTTGTATCTGTATTTCTATTTTATGTTTTCCTGTCTGCTGTGCATGTTTGGTTCTTTTGTACAGCACTTTGGTTGGCCTTGTTGCTGTTTTAAGTGCTATATAAATAAATTGGTATGGTATGGTATGGTAAAAGAGCCAGACTGGACTCAAAAAACTTTGAAAACCAACTTCTTCTGAACATGAACAAGAAATTCTTGCCACAATATTAAAATGTGTCAGTTCATGCGATGTTAGGACAGGAGACAAGAGATGTCTCCAAATGTCTCAACACTCAAGTCCAAGTTTTGAAAATGGTGTCAGGAAGTTAATATATTGTTCAATACTGACCCATTACAAGGTTGAATAGACAGTATTTTAACTAGAGTTGATGACAAACTGGAGTTGAAATGATCAGAGCCTGTTCCTTTGTTAGTTGTGTCTAATGCTCCTTTTTTCAGGGAGACAACTTTTTCTTAAATGTTTTTACTGCAGTTAAAATGACACATTGGTTTTGATTTGTGTTAAATAAAAACGTTCAAAGGTAAAATCATTCCTCTTTCTTATTTTGATTAATGACATTTAACTCTGCATGTCATCCCTGAAATTCTGACACAGAATCACAAGTCCAAGTGTGAACTGTCACAGAGTAAACACAATAAAAACATGTATTATCTGCAGCATTGTTCATTAAAATGGCTCAACACTATTAATGTATTACAGAAAATATACATACTGTAGGTACACAGTGAATGATATTGTAGACCATTGCATTAGGTAATACATTAAGCAAGTACTTTTACTTTTAACATTTTAAGTATTTTTAAAAGCAAGTACTTACTTAGTTTTACTTAAATAAAAACATTAATGTGGTACTTCTACTTTTACTAGAGTACATTTTTGTCTGTTTATTTGTACTTTTACATAAGTACAGTGTTTTGAGTACTGTCTCCACCACTGCTGAATCCTTAAATCTAATATAACACACTATGACAGCACTTTTGCTGCACAGCAATACAGTCCTGGGTTCAAAGTTCTGCTGGGGATTTCTGCATGGAGTTTGCACGTTTTTATTGTGCATACGTAGGTTTTCTTTGGGTGCACAGCCCAAAAATTATGCTTAATTACTAATTATTACTAATTAATTACTAATTATTCAAATTATAATTTGAAGATTGTAATTTAGGTGTGTCTGTGAGTGAATGCTTGTGTGTATGCTCTGTGAAGGACTAACAACCTGTCCAGTGTATACCCCACCGCTTACCAACTGACTGCTCTAGTGAGGCACCTGCCAGAATAGAGTTCAGTAGGAATAGAAAATTGACAATTGTTTAGATACCAAACACTCACCTTTACAGCTATCCCCATCATGGGTCACATGGTAACCCTGGTCACAGATGCATCGGAATGATCCCAGTGTGTTCTCACAAATCCCATGAGGTCCACACTGAGTCTCATTGAGCCCACACTCATCAATATCTGAAAACCACAAAGTAGAGAAAACCCCAGAATTACATTTTATTTGGTGATGTTCTAAATTTCATTACATTTAAGTTTTAGTTTTTCTTTAAAAAAAAAAAATCTGGTCTAAAAATGCCAATGAAGAACTACCACTTGGCAAGCACACTTCCATTTGTCTCCATTTATTCAATGAATTTGTGGTTATTTTCACATTTGTATGAACTACTGAGACATTTTAAAGATTGGAGTTGTTTGCTTTCAAAGTGGGTCTACTCTGACTATACTGTACTAACGAGCTCATAATAGCTTGTATGAGAAGACACACATTCAGAGTGGATTGCTGCTCTCATATCTCCAACCAAACTGACTGCATACACAGTTTATATAAACACTGTTTTTAAAACTACAGTCAATAAAAAAAAACATGGTTATTTTGGCAAAAAAAATACCATAAAATTCCTGCCAGATTTGACCACAGGATTCAATTCAATTCAATTCAGTTTATTTATATAACACCAAGTCACAACAGAAGACATCTCAGGGCACTGAACAGAAACATTCATATATAAAAAAATAATTTAACATTATTTATCTGAGGAGCAGACTGCTTTGAATTTAACTCCATCACACAGACTCTCATCTTGAGCAAGTATGAAGGTGACAGTGGAATGGAAAAACTCCCTCATGAGGAAGAAACCTTTAGAAGAACCAGACTCAGGACAAGCGGCCATCTGCTTCGACTGGCTCGGGTTGAGAGGAACAGATACACAATGGCAGGTCAAGAATCACATTAAGATAAATATAGTATCAAATGAAAACTATTCAATTTTAACAATTCATTTAAGGAAATGAGGACAATTTGTCCTCCAGCAGTCTAAGCCTATGGCAACATAACAAGCCAACACTAACTATAGGATTTATCAAAAAGGAAATTCTTTAGTCTTAAAACTGGACAATGTGTCAGCCTCACGGACAGAAACTGGAAGTTGGTTCCACAAGAGAGAAGCCTGATAACTGAAAGATCTTCCTCCCATTCTGCTTTTGGAAACTCTAGGGACCACGAGTAAGCCTGCAGTCTGAGAGCAAAGTGCTCTGTTAGGAAAATATGGAACAATAAGATCTTGATTATAAGATGGAGCTAGGTTGTTGAGAGCTTTGTAGGTTAGAAGTAAGATTTTGAATTCTATTCTGGATTTGACAGGGAGCCAATGGTAAGAAGCTAAAACTGGAGAGATATGATCTCTCCTACTAACTCCAGTTAAGACTCTGGCAGCAGCATTTTGGATCAACTGAAGATGTTTTAAAGAAGTATTTGGACACCCAGATAATAAACCATTGCAATAGTCCAGTCTAGACGTGACAAATGCATGGACCCATTTTTCGGCATCATTTTTAGATAAGATGTTTCTAATTTTAGTGATATTACGCAGGTGGAAGAAGGCAGTTCTAGTAACGTTTTTAATGTGGGGGATAAAAGACATGTCCTGATAAAAAATAACACCAAGATTTTTTACATTAGAGCTGGAGGACAGATTAATGTCATCTAAGGAGGGAGAAAAACTGAAAAATTATTTCCTAAGATGCTCAGGTCTAAAAACTAAAACCTCAGTCTTGTCTGTGTTCAAAATGAGAAAATTCAGGATCATCCAGGTTTTTATGTCTTTAAGACATGCTTGTAATCTAAGTAGCTGACTGGATTCATCGGGTTTCATGGACAAATACAACTGTGTATCATCAGCATAACAATAAAAATTTATAATGGAAGCATATACAAGGTAAAGAGTATTGGTCCAAGTACTGAACCTTGAGGAACTCCACGACTATCTTTGGTGTATGATGAAGATTCATTTTTACATTTACAAATTGGAATCTATCAGATAGATATGATTGAAACCAATTTAGAGCTGTTCCTTTAGTCCCAATATTATATTCAAATCTCTGTAGTAGAATATTGTGATCAACTGTATCAAATGCAGCACTGAGGTCTAACAGGACCAGTATAGACACAAGTCCATTATCAGAGACCATGAGGATATCACAAGTATCTTAACACCAGTGCAGATTATGTGCTGTGGTGAGCTCTAAACCCTGAATGAAACTCTTCAAACAGATTATTTATTTGCAGATGATCACACAACTGACCATCAACTATTTTCTCTAGAATTTTTTGAGATGAAAGTTACATTAGATATATGTCTATAATTGGCTAGGATTCCTGAGTCAAGGTTATGTTTATTAAGTAAAGGTATAATTACAGCAATCTTAAAGCTTTGTGGTATGTAACCGTTTATTCGAGACAAATTTAGCAGATCCAAGATGTGGATGCACTAGAAGTTGAACCTCTCAGTTCCTGTTGCTTTTTGCTTTTGCAAATAACTAGTAATTACTATTTAAATAACTCTATAAAACAGTATTTGGATGAATCTCTGAAATTTTCCCAAATTAGAGCTGTTTTAAGAAGGCAGCAATCCATTTTGGTGTTGCGTTCTAAGCTTGTCAGTTCTATCAGACATAAACACAAAATTTCCATTTTAAAGTAATTCAAGGAACTATTTAGAAATTAAACCTTATTTCATAATTTTATTTTCAATGAACATCATTTCAGAATGGCTGAAATGTCACTTTATATCAGTGGCATGAAAGTTGAAAAATTGAATCCAGAGTACAGAACTGAATGCCAACATACTTTACCACTAAAACATATGCTGGTACAAAAAAAGAGGCACAAATTACTTGGTTTTAGAAAAATATATACTCAGACACACACACACACACACACACACACACACACACACACACACACACACACACACACACAC